GACGAGTCACAGCCTCATAACTTCAGAGTCCAAGTCTCAAAAACATCAGTGACGTGAAAACCAGTCTAACCTGAGACAGAGGAATCACAGACCAGGTGATGTAGTTCTACTATCTGTCCACTAGATGGTGCAAAATAAACATCTAATGCGCTGAGTATCAGCTCAGCAGAGAGAGCTGTAAATGAGTCGCTAATCTTAAAACCTGTTCTTGTTACACTCTGTTGGAGTAGAGTTCACAGATTTAATGTTTAGATGACATATCTACATTTAAATCCAGACCATAATAATCTGTGCTGCTCCAACTGAGCAGACATGGATCCACAACAAGGACAAGTAAATGAAACTAAATAAAATGACTTTCCATTGCAGGGCAAACCAGGACATTTGAAGCAGCTCTTCTTTTGACTGAATTTTTATCATTCATCCATTTAAACCTCATGTCTGGAAGAAAAACAAGACGTTGTGAATAAAACTGAAGAAATGATATCAGATGTGAGGCAACACAAAGACACTGTGAAAGACAAGGTGCTTTCGTCAAAATCTGTGAAGAGACACAGCAAACTGTAAAACTTGGTGCTCAAAGTTCCCACAGTGTCTGACACTCAGGTTACAAGTTGAACTTTGACCCTGTTTTTACACCTGAGCTCAATGTCGTACAGTTTTGTACTTTGAACCTGTTCATTTAAATATATATATATATATATATATATATATATATAATCATATTTTATACGTGTAGAAAGTTTAATTTACAATTACATTTGGAATTATTTATGAATGTCACTTTAATGAGTAACATTTTTAATTAAAACTCATTTCATTTACTATTATTGACTCAGTCCGATGTAAGTTCTGCAGGAAGCTCCCATCAGTTTCAAAGGAGGTGGCTGCACACAGCTCCAACTGCAGATACTGTTAACATGAACCCTGGAAAGATTTTAAAAAGTTAGACTGTGCTTTGTGATTGGACTGTCATTGTCCAATCAGATTCACGTGTAAAAACATGGGCAAAATTTGCACTTTTTAGGTTTTTTAGAGTTTTACATGCAGTTTTCTATGAGAAGCCGCCTAGGCCACAACTGAATACTTCACTTGCACATACACATGCATGCATAAACATATACATTCATAGACACATACACATGCATGCAAAATGTGAGAATACGTGTGGATGTGCATGAGGGTGTATGAGTGTGATTATGTATGTATATGTGAGCTGGAGTATGAATGCATCCAGAAGGTACCACACTTTAACCAGAGGTTGCTCCCACTAGGTGACCCACCAATAAACATAAGAGAAGGGGTAAAGATACAGGTGCAGGGAAAATGCATGATGGCGGTCAACAATGCAGCTCAGGCTGAAGCTGTCTCTCTGCTGCAGACTCTGCTTGATAAGGATCAAACATATATTCATTTTAAAATGTGCTACTTTGGCTCTAATGCAGCCGCTTGTCCCTGTCTGCAGTCAGCACTCTGTGGTCTGGAGCAGTGTCCCGCCCACTGCACCGTCTGATTGGTTACAGGTTCACATGCTGTTCAGACCTGTTACTTCATCACAGTGTCTAACTACCTGCTGTACATGTAAACTTACACTGGTTCTGCTCCAGCACTCACAGCTCTCTGCTCCTTTTAACCACTTTCACTAATTCAGCAGCTGTTTGCGTGCTGTTCAGATGTGCTAGTTACTTTAGCTTAGCGGTTAGCGCTAGCTTCTCTCTCTCTCTCTCTCTCTGTTGCTCGGTGTGTCTTGGATCAACAGGTGAACTTGTTCATCAGAGTGCGGTGTTGTTGTAACTTCCGTGTGGAGGGTTGTGATGTTTATTACATCTTCAGTGATGTCTGCTGTCTTACCTTCGACACACAGCTCCGCTCTTTAACTTGTCAGGTGATCTGAAAGTAAACTCAACAAACGTCTGTCGCAGTGTCCCGCCCACAGCACCATCTGATTGGTTACACGTCACGAATGATAGCCTATCAACGCTGAAGGCTGCTGTGTGCACAGACCAGAAAAGACTAGAGCAGCTCCCGTGTGCAAGCGGAGTGATAAAGTCATATGTATATGACGACATCTTAATGTTTGCAACACCTGAAGCCGCTGTATGATTTATGATACACTGACAAACTGAGATCTGCTTGTTGGAGTTACTTTCTAGTGTAGTGATTGTACTGGCAGCTGCAGTGACAGCAGGAGTAAAAGAAGTAGTTGTACTGTTGTTATATCACAGCTGATGGTTCAGTGTAAACTGAGTTTCAGAGGAAATGCTGCCATCTGGTGGTCAAACATGAAACTGCACCTTCATTTAGATCAAGGCTCTGCTGCTTCTACAAACATCACAGCTACAAAACAAAAGTCTTTTGCTTTCAATAATCAATCCATTAAAAAGTGTTTCCTGTGTATTCATTGTGTTAGCAGTGAAGTCCATTTACACAGTTGTACTTGTGAACAGAGCTGGATGCTGCTTATTGATCCTGACAGTAACAACAGCAGAATGAACAGAGACAAAAATAAACATCAGACAGAATAAAATCATTTTACAAAAGTCTTAAAATGTTGATCATCAAAGTGATGAAATCAGACTAATCAATGTTCAGTGTCTGAGTCTGAGACAGATCTGCTTCACAGTGCAGAGTGTGTGTGATGGTGAACAGAGTCCACTTTGATTTCAGCAGCTGACCTGCAGTCAGCAGAGTTTCTGTCCACAGGAGAGACTCTCAGACCTACAGACACAGAGACACTGAGGAACTGGGACAGATGAAGAACCCAGGATACAGAGGTTCAGTGAAGGTGGTGTTGAAGGTGTGGAGGTGGATCAGTGAGTCAGAGGAGACTCTGTAGAAGGACAGAGAGCCAGCAGGACAGTCCACATACACTGCTACTCTGTGAGAGCCACAGGAGGAGGAGATGGATGTTTTTCTGTTGTTGTGACAGACAGAGTAACGACCACAATCATCAGAGCAGATCAGACTCCAGGACTGATCATTTCCTCCAAACCAACAGTCCTCAGTGTTTCCTTTCCTTCTGATTCTTCTGTAACTCACTGATATATGAACCACTCCTCTCCACTCGACCTCCCAGTAACAGCGACCAGTCAGACCAGTTCTACACAGCAGCTGAGGCCAATAGTCAAATCTGTCTGGATGATCAGGATATGACTGACCCTCTGTCGCCCATGTCACCGTCCTGTTGTTGTCAGACAGTCTGAGGTCTCTGTTCACTGTGTTTTCATCCAGTTCCAGTTCACAGGAATCTGATGGAGAGAACAAGACACAACACAGCTGCAGTTTATCATCTGTTGATTCATCAACAACTTCACTGACAGTTACTGAGAGTGAATCATTTCATATTCAACTGTGAACAATGTTTGACTTCATTTAAATTAAACTCCAACAGTCCAGTTACTGAACATGAGAGTCCAGATGTCAGTAATGTTCTGCTTGTTTTCTGCTGTGGACCTGAGGATGACGACTAATGGAGATCCACATCAATAAACATGTAGTGAATAAAGACTCACTAATAAAACTGGATCATCATCTTCCACTGCAGCACAAAGAAGCTCTGAACCATCTGCTTTCTAAAACTGTCATCACCTCACATTCAGCACAAAGTTCACACCTTTGACCTCAAACCTCAAACTGTCGTCTGCTACAAACACGTTCACAACAGTCAGAGGAGTGAGGGTCCACCAACTGGTTTCAAGCTGGTTTTCACTGACCAGGGGCCAGATGCAAAAAAACTGTGTGTAAACAAAGACAGAAAAACACATTGTTTTCTTCAGGATTATAAAGCTGTGAGTTCACATGGTTCTGTTTCATGAATCTTAGTTACTGTGGAAGTGGACGCACATATAGAAGAACCATGTGAACATGATCTGAGGTCTGTGTGTTCTTCACACTCTGTTTATAGAAACACCAGTTTATGTGTGAAGAATAGAGGATGTCTGGTATTTGTGCAGATGTATCACACATCTGGCCCCAGGTCTGCCATTCAGGGAGGAAGTGGAAGATAAATCCACCTCAGCTCACTTTACTCAACGTTTCAACATCTTTGTGACATTAATTATGGCCTGTTGTGTTTATGACTTGTGGGTTTATTAAACACATCAGAGAAGAAAACTGAAGGTTTCCTGAACACAACTTATATCAGTCAAAGGTGTAAAGTACAAGCTTCATAGCAGCACCTGAAGGCAACATAACTCTTCTATAGAATCATTGACAGACAAAAAACCAGAAGAAACAAAGTCAGCTTTGTGTTGGTGCCACTGTTGATATAATGTATAAAATGTATTGATTAGTTTTGTTGGATCACTGTGTTCAGTTTGTTGTGTTTGTGGAATTTAAATTGATTGAATTCAAACATCTTCCCAGCCACACTGACAAAAAACAGAAGCTGAATCCTGAATGAAATTCATCTTTGAACTTCAGTCAAGAAAATGTAAAAATCTAGTGTAACATGTGCAGCTGTGTTCTCATGAATCAAACTGAAAACACACTCACACTTCCTCACACCAGGTCTCAGTCTCTGTGGTCCACAATGGTCCACCCTGGAGGAAGAAACAAAGTCAGAGTCAACTTCATCACCTTCACTCATATCCACCATGAAACATGAAGCAGAGCTCCTCAGTCAGTCAGAGAGACAGAGACCACAGTTGGAGGGGAAAAAGGAAGCTTTGGGGCTGGTGTCTGTCCCACACCTGAGAGTGTCCAGTCTCCAGTCTGGATCCTCCAGTCCAGCAGACAGCAGCTTCACTCCTGCATCTCCTGGATGATTGTAGCTCAGTCCAGTTCTCTCAGATGGAGGGTTTGGAGCTTCAGAGCTGAGGCCAGAGAAGCACAGCCTTCCTCTGTGACCAGACATCCTGACAGACTGAACACACACACACACACACACACACACACACACACACACACACACACACACACACACACACACACGACCTTACTGTAAGTGAAAACTCTCTGAGCTAAAACTTTCATATTAGTCCAGTTTAAAAATCAGCATAAGATGCTCACAGTTGTATCAGGAATGTAACTGTCACTGACACTAATGGAGCATTGTGTTGGTTTAGACTCAGCACTGAATGTGTGTATTGTATTGGTTGATTGTATCGGCCATGGAGATATACCCTAACTCAAAAGGGTAACGAGTACAATCACAAAACTAGAATAAGAAGCTGTAAAAACACTAGAGATAATTTCCAAATATTCAGTGTGAGTGTATGAATTATTATATACATATAAGTCTTTATTATAGAGTGAGAGTTTTTTGTTTTTCTCTCCCTGATGATGAACAAACTATTCTAATCCTAACATCATCATCACTTTTACTCCCGCATAAAGAAAACATGTTACATGAGGGACCTATTTAATGTAAGTGTATATTCAGGCTACACTATATCCTACTAAAAAACTGTTTTCTCAATCAGTGTTCTGTACAAAAACACTATACTGGTGATAATCACCTGAGTCAGCAAACATCCTCAGTACAATATTACCACATTTAATATAAGGTCATAAAAATGAATGAAAAGACTTTAACTTGACCGTTTACAAAAAGATGAGTACTGACCTGAGAGTTTCCAGTCTGCAGTGTTGTCTCTCCAGTCCAGCTGACAGCAGCTTCACTCCTGAATCCTGCAGGTTGTTGTTACTCAGGTCCAGGTCTCTCAGACTAGAGGACTGGGAGCTGAGGACTGAGGACAGAGCTTCACAACTTCTCTCTGACAGTTTACAGCCACTGAGTCTGAAGAGTAATCAGTAAAACAATTAAGATACAACATATTTTAGGTAAATGACAGGTCAGAATTAGGGCCCGACCGATTAATCGGCCGGCCGATTTAATCGGCCGATTATAGCCATTAGAGAGTAATCGGCCAAAAATTGGCCGATTGACGCCGATGTTTACACTTATTTTTCACTAATAAAATGCAGGTAATATGGTATTTTCCTTAGAAATGATGTCCTTGTGTTACGTATCCAGTAGAGGACGCTCCGACTGCTTTCATGTCACGCTTCACAGTCACACCGCATCAGAGTGAAATAGTCAAGACTTATGCCCGGATATCCACCGGGGCCGTTAGCGTCGCGGTTTTGCTCCGTCCTCAGCCCGGCGTCAATCCCCACCGGACGTGTTACGGCAGCGCAGCGCTGCCTTGCGAGCCAGCCGTATTCACGCGAGAATACGGAACGTACGCGAGATCGTTGCTCTTGATACAGTGCTTGATACACATAATGTTGATGTGAAGTTAGATGACGTGCGTGTTGTGTTTTATTTTGAAAGGGGCGGAAGTGTTTTACTTTGATACTTTGTCTGACTTCCTGTCTGGTGCAATCTGCTCTGTTGAGCTTGATGCGATTTAGCAACGGGAGCGTCAAAAATGGAACTGCTACGGATTGATAGCGCTGCGCCTTGGTGAGCCGCTGCTGAGACGTTATGCCCCACATAACAAAATACCTCAATCTTTTGCAGTTACTTTTTTATTGTTTGTTTTCAAAGATGTTTACTAAAAAAGTTGTGCTTTTTGCACTATAGCCTACCTCTGTTAGACTGGCAATAATAAGAAGAACTCCGGCACTGAGGGGGCATGTGAAAGTAAATGTCTTAATTCATACAGATAGAGGTTTACTGCCTTTTTGCACGTCATATTTTTGATTTATTTTATGTTCAAATTGTTCATATGCTGCTTGTTCTACACACTTTCTGATAATAAAAGAATTTGAAAATAGTAAAATGTTCTCCCTTCAATTTATATCTTTGTAACAAGTGTTTGGAACTATATTCAAGCCATCAAAGACAGTCTTAAAAGTCTTTTTTTAAATTGAAAAATTGAAAAATTGAAATCGGCTGATATATTGGTTATCATAATTTTTTATTCCCAAATATCGGAATCGGCCCCAAAAAATCCATATCGGTCGGGCCCTAGTCAGAATTATTAATACAAAAAAGATAAACACTAACCTGAGACCGCCCAGTTTACAGTGTTGTCTCCCTAGTACAGCTGACAGCAGCTTCACTCCTGAATCCTGCAGGTTGTTGTTACTCAGGTCCAGGTCTCTCAGACTAGAGGACTGGGAGCTGAGGACTGAGGACAGAGCTTCACAACTTATCTCTGAAAGTGTACAGCCACTCAGTCTAAAGCGGAATCAGCAAAACAAAAGAAAACAAGTATAATTTTTTTTTTTTGTCTTGACAAAAGAAAACGATACAGTTAATCTAGATGAATAGCTGTGCACATACAGAGCTCTGTTAGAGGCTTTGACCACTGGCAGCAGCTTCTCTGAAGCAGAGTATTTCTTCAGGTCAAACACGTCCAGATCTTCTTCTGAGGACAGTAAGATGAAGACCAGAGCTGACCATTGAGCAGGAGACAGTTTATCTGTGGAGAGACGTCCTGATCTCAGGGACTGTTGGATCTGCTCCACTAGAGAACGATCATTCAGTTCATTCAGACAGTGGAACAGGTTGATGCTTTTCTCTGCAGAGGGAGTCTCTTCGATCTTCTTCTTGATGTACTGGACTGTTTCCTGATTGGTCTCTGAGCCACTTCCTGTCTTTAACATCAGACCTCGCAGGAGAGTCTGATTGGTCTGCAGTGAAAGACCCAGGAGGAAGCGGAGGAACAAGTCCAGGTGTTCATTAGGACTCTGTAAGGCCTCGTCCACAGCTCTCTGGTAGAAGACTGTTGGTTCAGGCTCGTCCCTGAAGACTTTAGATAACCAGGAGGTTGATTGTTTATCAGACAGCAGATTGACTCCAGACTTGATGAAGGTCAGATGGACATGAAGAGCAGCCAGAAACTCCTGAACACTCAGATGGATGAAGCAGAACACCTTGTCCTGGTACAGGCCTCTCTCCTCTTTAAAGATCTGTGTGAACACTCCTGAGTACACTGAGGCTGCTCTGATATCGATGCCACACTCTGTCAGGTCTGATTCATAGAAGATCAGGTTTCCTTTCTGCAGCTGCTCAAAAGCCAGTTTTCCCAGAGACTCAATCATCTTCCTGCTCTCTGGACTCCAGTGTGGATCTGTCTCAGATCCTCCATCATACTTGACCTTCTTCAGTTTGGACTGAACCACCAGGAAGTGGATGTACATCTCAGTCAGGGTCTTGGGCAGCTCTCCTCCCTCTCTGGTTTTCAACACCTCCTCCAGAACTGTAGCAGTGATCCAGCAGAAGACTGGGATGTGGCACATGATGTGGAGGCTTCGTGATGTCTTGATGTGGGAGATGATCCTGCTGGCCTGCTCCTCATCTCTGAACCTCTTCCTGAAGTACTCCTCCTTCTGTGGGTCAGTGAACCCTCTGACCTCTGTCACCACGTCAACACACTGAGGAGGGATCTGATTGGCTGCTGCAGGCCGTGTGGTTATCCAGAGGCGAGCAGAGGGAAGCAGTTTCCCCCTGATGAGGTTTGTCAGCAGCACGTCCACTGAGGTGGACTCTGTAACATCAGTCAGGATCTCAGTGTTGTGGAAGTCGACACTCATCCAGACGTCAAAGATGAACACGACCTGGAACTGAATCAAACCTTGCAGATTCCTTGCTTCTTTTGTTTCAGTAAAAGAAGTGGATGAACAGTTCCACCAAGCGAACTTTTCTCTCTTTCCAGCACATTTCAGCTTCTCTGAAGGTGAATGGAAATGGAACTGTTAGTGTCCTGGTTGTCTTTGTTCTTCAGCCCAGTCCAGAGTGAACTTCTGTGTTAAGCACTGTTTCCAATGGCCAAGCCACTCCCTTTGTTCCATCACTGTTCTGATTGGTCTGTCTCTTCCAGGTGAGGCTTGGTAAAAAGATGTCTTTTCTTGTCTGATGGTTGTTTCTGGTCTGACTGGTTTCCTGGATGCTGTTTCAATCTGGTCTGACCTCATGTTCATCAATTGACCTCTCCAGTCCCTCCCTACTGTGATGTTAGAGCTCGTGTAGATCTGGTTCCAGAAGGGTTGGGTTTCCTGCTGTAGATCCCCTCAAACACACACTGGAGACTTCTTCTTCAGTTAGATTGATGTTGTTTGTCGACAAACTGCAGCACGACTCTTCTTGAAGGAAACAAAGAACAAATAAGAATCAATGAATAAATAAGTCAATGTTTCAAACAATTTTTTTCCCCTGAAGAATGAGTAAATTTGAAACATATTTCCCCTCCATCTGTCAGGTAAACGTCGTCATTCCTCCATCATGTAAATCTCTTACTGCTCTGCTAGACAGTCAAGCCAGCTTCCTCCTGCTTCATTCTCCCTCAGGAGGTTCACTGTGATCTTCAGAAACGCCTCTCTGCTCCTCCTCTGCCTCTTTCATCCTCTTCGTCCAAACACCTCCTCACCCTCCCTCTGACTCTCTTAAGCATTCTGGGTAATCTGCGTCTCAGGGAGCCTCTGGACCTCTTCTTCAGCCTCGTTCTTCACAAACGTGACCCATGTTCTCCCTCCAGCAGCTGGGAACAGATGCATAAACTGATCATTTCATTTAGAAAAAACAACATGTGACTCATGCATCAGTCTAGGCCTGCTGGTCTAAACACAGCAACATGGACACTTTAGACCTGGATGGAAATTCAGCATTTAAATCTGTGGTGATGGAGTTAAACAGTAACAGTGTGATTGTAACATGTACAGACCAAAAGATCGGAGTCCGTCTGGTTGATGCTGCTGGGCAGACGTGATTGCATGGTGGGACCTCTGAGCTCTGCTGCTCAACATCCTGTGGAGAAAAACACCAACTTTAAGGGAAGATGAACTGACTCCACTCTACACACCTTATTTAACAGGCGACCACTGATGCATTGATGGATAAAAGGCGAGTGATCTGTGGCCGATGATAACGCTGGAACACCTCAGGGTCTTCATCATTCATCATCAACAATCATCAGTCCTGGGCAGCAGCAGCAACGTCCAGGTTTGGTTTCTGTTCTGCGCATTGTTTCAGTTTTAAATTCTTAACCTTCCATCAGCAGGTTGGTTGCAACTTATAAAGTCAAATAGGTATGATCCAGTAGACGAGTTCACTCGTTCGTGGACACACAGTTGGTTCAGGAGAGTCTGGTCTCTGCTGCTGGCTCTCTGACACTTAAACAACAAGCTGATGTCAACATTAGCTTGATGATTTTTCTAATCACACTCAAGAGACAGCTGAGACTGGATTATGTCCTGGATAACTATGTGCAGATTTCTAACCAGGGGACAATGAAGTGATGAGATGTGTCAGTTCGTATCCATCATCAAAATGAAGAGCAGTGGGCGATCAGAGAGTGTGTTGCGGAGAGTTTTCTCTACTGATTGTTTCTCCCGACTCAAGTTCAGAGAGAGTCAGATTACGAATACATGAGTGTTGTTTAAATTCTATACCCTCCAGTCAAGCAGGTGTTCACGCTGTTAAAAGTCAAATAATGTCTATCCATAGACCCGTCACTACCTCATTGGACACAACACTGGGTTTCAGGAGATCCTGGTCTCTTGCTGCTGCATCCTGACACAACTCAAACAAGAGTGACAAATGGAAAAGCAGTTTTAACCTGAGAACAGATGGATTGTGAGCAGACTAGTCTCCAGTGAAATGTTAGCAGCAGATAAGAGAATCAGTAAGAAGACAGTGGCTTGAGTAACTCTCCTGTTCATCAAACATGTCTCCTGTCTAATCAGTGGTTGGGCTCTTTGTTTCACTAAGACAGGGAGTTTTTCAAAAGCTGTTTATTGAGTAGTTGATGGCAGATGTGGACAGTGAGTGTGAATAATGATGGAGCAGTGATGTGAGTCATGGACAGTTAGAGATCCTCATCTCACCTTCTGAGCTCTGGTCTTTCTCTCATGTTCCCCACACAGAGGTGTTTTTAGAGGGAGGGGCTCCTCCTCTCTGTCCTCACACTGATCCATGGCAGAGCCCCCACCTTCACACCAAAAAAACAAAACCTGCTTCATTTACAAACAGGGTTTACATCACAGGAAACATTAGTTAGTGCCACGGGTGCTTCCGCCCCGAGCGCATCTATTAATATTTCTTCTTTCGGGTTTATTATTCTTCTGCCAAATTTTGGCGCGTAATCGTCCCGCCAGCTTTGAGAAAACCCCTAGTAATATATACATCAAAATGTGCGGTCTTGATCCTGAAAGAGGTGCTCATGACTTTTGGTGTTTAAAATTCCAATTTTTTCCCAAAGTTATTCCCAAAATACTGGGAATAAATAATGCATTAGGAATGCATTGGAATTTTCTTTTAGGAAACCCACAAAATTTCACCTTTTTTCTACAAAATTTCACCTTTTTTCTGAGTCACCCAGCTCTCTCATACCTGCACGTAGAAATGTGATTCAAACTATAAAACGGAGGGAAACTTTCTGCTCTCTCCAAAACACAGCAAGCTGTTGTTACATAACATGGTAAACTTTTCAAACTATGAGCCACTCAAAGGAGGAGTTGGAAATCAACTATTTTCTTCAAAGTTAGAGTGACAGCGGTCAGGTTGGCTTAGAGTGCCTGAAGCAGTAAAAAAATAACCTTTATTTATTTTTAACTCGAGCTCACGGGCCAAACCGTAAAAAGGAGACAAATAAGTCTTCTCAACTATGTAGACATAGTTGTTGGGGATTCATGAAAATGTTAACTTATGAGCAGGGCAGGGTCTGCACAAAAATTTAAACGGGGTGTTGCCGAGTCCCGGCAGGAATACCTGTCTCCCGCTCATTGACACCTAATGTAATCGTCTTTCTTTTTCAAAAGAATCTCACTCTGTTCTTCGCACTGACGCTTACTCATCATTTTAAGGAATATTCTGAATAAAATAGGAGACTGTAAGAAACTTCCTGGCTTCAGTGGTCTGTCACGGTGTTTTCGGTTTGAAAAAAGTAACGGATTTTCTCATAATTTTGCAGTTGTTTGAAGCCATGTAGAAAGCCAAATTCTGGCAGATTTTCACATTGCCATGGCAACAGGCAGCTCCTGACCGTGTTGCGCTGTGTGCGTAGCCTAGCAACCAGATAACCAACTTCTCCGCTCCGCTAGCTTTACATTAGCGCATGTAGGTCTTAAATTACATTTAGTTAGGTCTTAAATTATGTAAGTCCATTTACTGCTTCCTTTGTTGCTTCTCTTTTTGTTTTTGTTTGAATGAGTGAATGAAGTTGTGACAGTCTCCGCTGAGACAGAGGAGGAGAGGAGAAGCTACTAGCCCTCTCTCGCTGTCACTTCTAGTCGCGTTGCTCTCCTCCCCAGTAATGTTAAATTTAGCACCGAAAAAACATAATAGTGTAATTTTAAATAGCGGTTCATGCGGATTTATTAATCCTCAGGGGTCCTCTGTCCTTTTTTGGACATTTTCTTCACTTTTCTTTTTTGATTTGCTGATCATTTTTGCTGTGTTACAGCTGAAGGTATGGATTTCTGCAAGAAAGTGTCTTTTTGACATATTTTTTAAAATCTAATGTCAGTTACTGTTACAGGGTCATATTATACACTGGTAACACATTTTGTACCCTCTGGGGTTCCTCGCGTCCAAAAAAGGACACACAAAGAAAATGCTATAAAATCATCATATATCAATATTTTGTTCTGCTTTTTTTGCATACATCTCTTAAACCACTTCAGTTCTGCTCAAACCTACCAAATGTTTATTAGTTTTCAGGATTTTAACCCTTTAAATGCCAGTTTGAAGACATGTTGCCTCTTGCTTTATTAAAAAAAACAACACAGAATATGAGATATTTCCCACATAATACATGATGGAGGGATGTGACATTGTTTTATATCAGAGTCTTTTATATCAAGACATTTCTCAAAACCAGAATATGATCAGGGTGACTTTTGAACACTGGAAATAAGTAATGTACTCATCCCGGCAGTAGCCCCCGTGGCACTCAAAATTTCCCTGGAATTTTCTAGTTCTCATTACTGTCACTAACATGTCACAAATAAACCTCACCCTCACTTCCTCCCAACAACACCCTGTTTGTTATTGCAGATATTGGGCGACTGTAACAGCTATAAGAATTTAACACAGAGAGCCCACAAACCAAAATCTGTTATTCATGTTTATCCCATATTTAAATATTACACTACATATTATCATTATATATTACATTTCTTTATATACATAGATTTGGTAGTGTAGGTGGCGGAATCCATTTATTATTATCCCAAAATCTGTCATAGTGCTCCTACAGTCCTTCTGTTCAACGAACATAAAACTTGGTGCAACGCCCTCCAAATGTTTTCAATAATACAATGTTCCACCTCAATAAAATTCCCACATCTGGTTTTAATCTGCAAATTTAATACAAGGCTCCACTAATTTTAGTTTTGAGTACAACTAAAATGTAGTTGTTCCGTCTTCAACCTCTAAAAATATATTTACTTACTTCCTGAAAGCGGTTTTTATGTCGACACATAAATAAAGTAGGCCGTGCCCTCGAAATGTCATGTACAGATTTCTCTGGAGGATTCTCACCTGCTGAACTCACTTCAGGTCGACTTACAGACACTTTCCACCTTCATGTGTCGAGGAAATGTTTGGAAAGAAGAAGCTGCTCATTCTCCCTCGTCAGTCCTGGTGTCTGAGAGCATTTGCTCTGAAGGCGAGTCACTTCCGCAAAACTTCAGGGTGTAATCAGCGAGTCGTCACAAACCCTTCTAACCCGTGTCAGAGAAATCACAGATCTCGTGGTGCACATCTTCACTTTGGCCACTAGATGGTGCTAGTCGATCATCCAATACAACAAAGCTCAGTAGGATGTAGTAGAGCAGCAGTTTGGATCACATCACATCGTTAATCAAACAAAATGTGACCATACAAAGATTTTAATACTTTATTTTTAAGTTCTTTATTTCAGTAAGTAGTAATAGTAAATATCCAGGGGGGATATTTTACTGTCAGAAAAAAGTCAGAGTTTTTTCAGATGTGGCTCTAATCCTCTTATTTAATTTAATATATCATCATCATCATTACAGTGTATAAAATCCAGCACCGCGCTCTTATTCTCCAAGTCCGCAACATAAATGTTTACTGTCGCCATCGCACTTCATATCTTACAACCGTTAACGTCATGCACGTTACTAAAGAACAGCTCATAGAAGACTGCGTGCTCTAACTTCAAAAAGCGGAAATAGCGTCGTCAGCAACCCACAAACGTTGCTTTTTATGTATTAGTAAATTAATTGAATGTATTCACATATGTGTTTTTATTCGTGGCATTTGTTTGTCTATTTTCAGATACGTTTTATATTTGCAAGATATATTTGTGTTGACATATTTTTTTTGTATTTTTGATTACGCATATACTCACTGATTGTCAATCTGTTCACACAAATAATTGTGAGACATATCTACCTCCACACTGGGACTTTAAATTGTCTGCTTTGCTCACCAGCCTTGTTAAAATCTCGTTACATTATCGGTTATGGAGTCTTGTTTCCACCAGGAGATGGCGCCATAGATTGAAGCAGGAACCAGACAAAGATTGTCTATATATAGATATATCACTCTGACGTATAAAAATGTCAACTCCCATTTTTCATTTCAAAAAGGGGTCGCTGGCTTCTGCATATGCAGATGAAGCAGGGTTCGGATGGGGGGTGATCGGAGGAGGCTATAACTTCGGAGCATGTGGAGCAACACGCGGCAAAAAAGGCTCGCACACGGTCCTCCAAAGTTTGGGAAATGTTAAAAATGTTTTTTTTTTGTGTGTGTGTGTGTGTGTGTGTGTGTGTGTGTGTGTGTGTGTGTGTGTGTGTGTGTGTTGGACGGGGCAACTTGTTATATTAAATGACTAACTGGAAAATAATTGCAATAATATTACTGTTTTTGATTTATTAATCGTTTCAAGAATAATCGTTTGGGACAGCCCTACTACGGTTATAGACACCCCTAAAATGGACCGTACCATTTCTTAACTTTAACGTTAGCTTAACGTCCTGTATCTCTGCCTCACTCTCATCAGTGGCTAGCATCTTTACTCCTGTGCGTTGCCCAAGCAAATTGAGACACTAGGTAAATGTAAGTAGTAGTAGCAGCTAACTGTCTACTTTCTTACCTTCCGTTTCTGAATTAGACTGTCAAGTATCTGCGGATGGAAGCTAATGCTAGATAGTTTCTGTAGATCAGTCATCGTTCACAGCTACATTGAGCTGTTACGGATGCCGTAGTCTCAGGATTTAATCTGAATCTAATCTCAATACACACGGATGTATGTTTGTACGGTCTCCTCTGCACTGTGGTTATTAAACCCGAAGCTCATCTTTCCACAGTTTCTAACTTTTTACCGTAAATTACAGTTCAGCTAATTAATGTTAGCTAGTTTCTAACTTTAGCCGTAAATTACAGTTAGCTAACTAATGTAGCTAGCTGATAGCGCGCCCTTTCATTTCCAACGTTAGCGTGTTATGTAAAAATATCTGCAATGTCAGTCAGGAGCAGTGAGACAAACAAAGTAATCTCTGTTGAATTAGTGCTCAGCATATTTACACTGCTAGAGACAGTTTCAACAACATTGCTTTTAATATTTTTTGTATGAGGCAGAGATTATGATAAAAAATAAAAACTACATGAAGTCCTCTAATCATTTAGCAAATTAAAAGACACTATAAATCTTAATCAAAGTAATATAAATCACAGTCTATACATGAAAATTAGTATTTAAATGAAACAATTAAGAGCTACAATCAAGACAAAAAGTATATATATATATATATATAATTTACTTAGTTAGTTAGTAGTATGTGGTATACAGTCCAGAACACTTAGCTTGACGGAGCTCATAATGGTCAGTTGTTGGTCACATTGTTGTAAATCTGTAAATGTATTATTGATATCATAGTTTCTTTTTCTCTTTTTACAATCTCAGTCATGTTTTTAGAGAGACGCCAGTTGTCCGGTCCCCGGAAATCCCGTCAGAGTGAGACCTCTCGCGATCACTCCTCCCTCTCCGCTGTGAGTTTGTCTGTGTGAGTCGGCCGCGGTGATAATCAGATCCGCATGAAGCTGGAGCTGCTCGGTCGCACCGCCGCCTGTCAGGGAAGTTTGGAGAGACGGACAATAAAACGTCTAACGGATCGATCCACCCGGGTCATCTCTCACTTCCAGACTCGGTGCACCGAGGGCACAGGCCGAACCGGGACTGTGGTCCGTTAAATTGGACCGTTGAGCGTGTCCAAACCGCCACTTGATGGGAGTTTAAGGCGCATTTTCTTCTCGTTTCAGCCGCGATGGAAGCGGAAAGACCGCCCTGTTCCCAGAGGTAGTTACCTTTAACTTTGCTTTTCATCTGAGTGAAGACTGTAGAAAGAGCCTGCAGGTTTACAGCCTGTTGCAAAGTTATACACAGTCAATTTAATGTCTCCATTATGAGAGAAAATCCAGATGTGATCTTGCAGAGATAACATTATTACAGTTGTTTACCATTACATTTACCATTACAGTAGTATAATTAGATTTTCCATTGTTACTCTGGAAAACTCAGATGAGCAATATGAAGAAAAATGAATATAAAAATATACTTTTACTCTTGTGTAAAAGTTCACAGGCTAAAAAGTCTAATTTGCGTTCATGTAATCATTAAATTAAATGGATTTTAACACACTTGAGTGAATTAAATCTTTTGTTTTCTCTTTAAAAGTGTAGTTTAGTTCATTATATTTATTTGTCATTTGTCCAAAAACATTATAGAAGAGATGTTTTAAATCTGGAGTCCCCAGGCAGGTAGATGCAAATACTAATGCAGGCTAACTAATGTAATTACAACAAATTAGAGTTCAAAGTTCAGTAAATAGTGAATCCAGTCAGACTAAAGGATATATAAAAATTACTTAATTACACCTAACAATGATAAATATTAGGTAGGTGGGTCCAGATAAGCTGTAGTCTGTCTAATAATAATACATCAGCCTTCCTGTCTGGTTTAACTATAGAGGCTTGAAGGGTCTGTCACGCAAAAATGAAAGAATATTTTTATCCTTGTAATTTTCTTGTGATCTGGTTGACCTGAGCTTTTAATTAGTTGTCAGCAGATGTTTTGCAGATGTCAGAAATCAAAAATAACCATAAAGTTCCTGCAGAGTTGTAGTTGTCTGGAGCAGAGTGGTGAACAATAATATTTGGCACTATGCTATGATGTCATGTCGTGTCTTACAGTAATAAACAAGCAGTAGCCTACAGTATGTTGAATTTATCCTAATGAATTGCCTCTTTAAATTCTCATATAGAGCATGACTTGTTGACATGAGGTTCAGTATCTCTGAGCCATGTTGGTCTGGTATGAGTTGAGGGAAGATGGTGACACCTGAAACAGGACAGGGTTTTCATCCCCAGCCAAAGACCAAATAAACATTAGAGTTTGTGGTTTGAAATTCTAGAAATGAACATTGAGATTGCTTCAGAATCCTGCTCAATACAGGACAAAACATGTTTTTAATAGAAACAGGGCTTCACAGCTGTGTGATTTTTTAATATTAATCTGTAGGATATTCTTTTTTATGTCTGCATAATCTATTTTTTATTGTTTTATTTGTTAATACAAAAGAAACATGGGTCAGTGACATACATGTATATACTTTTTAAAGAAAAAATAAGTGAACCCTTAAGAATTATCTGCATTTATATCCAAATACAATCTATTAACACAATCTGTTTCTACTAATAACATGCACATCATTGTGTTCTTGTCCATATTGAAAACATCATTCAAACAAGCTCAGTGTGGATTGGAAAATGTATGTGAACCCTTCGACTAATGGCATTAAAAAAAAGCTAAGTGGAGTCAGGAGTTAACAAACCTGCAGCTGTCTGACCAACATGAGAACATCAGCAGGGTGGAGGGAGCATCAGGGTCTGGGTCTCTGCTGCCTCTGGAGGCATGAGAGTAAATCTACTACAGACAGAGAAAATCCACCTTGTGGAGTGGTCCAGTCAGAGCCCAGACCCAGAAGAACTGTCCAGACTTCCTCCTGAACACTGAGCAGGTCTTATTGATGCTAAATGAGGTTCAGTCAGTTGTTAAAGCCAAGTGCACTTGCTTTTTCTGCTGTGAATTTTTAATGGACACAGAAGATTAGAATTGTTTGAGTGATATTAGCTTATAAACGCATTGTGTTTGTCTATACTTTGACTTAGATGAAGATCAGATCACTGTTTATCACCAATCAATGCAGAAATCCATTCAATTCCAAAAGGTTCACAAACTTTTTCTTGTCCTTGTGTCGACTCCCAAACTATTTCACAGCTTGTGAAGGGAGTCGGTCACAGGTACAGGTTCATGAGAGCTGCACAATTAATCGAAATAGAATCGAAGTCGCAATATGGCAGAGTACAATATCCAAATTATAGGAGCTGCAATTTTTCTAAGTTCAGTGTTAAGTGTTGTGGTGCTACAGAGACGCCCCGGACTACAAATCATATTCTGCAAATGTAAAGGAACATGTTTGTTTGTCACGTCGTCATCATAATTTTTATATTTTCTTTTCAGAGAAAAAAAAAAAAGCAAGAGCGATCATTCCAACTGAAATCGCAATATCTGCCAAAATAATCGCAATATGATTTTTTTTTCCCGCATATCGTGCAGCCTTAGTTTAAACACTTTCTGAACTGAGACATCTAAAAGCAAAAACCATGTCAGATGTGGGTCCATGGCCTAATTTGTGTCAGTTTAAGGTCCTTGATGAGAAAAGGTTTGAGAACCACTTCTCTCCAAATTGAGTAGGATACAAGGATGCAAAGAATCTCGATGAAACCTGCAGGATACTATACAGAGTCAACAGGAGAGATAAACCGAGGGACTTATTTTTTAATGTGTTGTCTTTATTCTCAACAGGTGCTCCCAGTGAAAAGAGAAAATCCAGATCTTTCATGGTTGTTTCCCTCCACTGCTGCTCACAACATGATCAAGAGTTTCATCCAGCAGGAGGCCTGAGGAGTTAACATTTTACAGGATCACAGACCTTTATTTTTTTGTTCATTTCTGCCTCAGAGATGCCCGGCGGCGGGAGGAAACTTTCCTTGCAGGATTTTATTGGTGATAAATGTGAATCAGGTCAAACGAGGGGGCAGAAAACGCTCGGCTGACGAACAAGCCCGAGCAGTCGGACTCTTTTTTTGGATGTCGTTCACCCACGAGGCCTTTCTCCCGCCCGGACCACGTCACAGATAGCAGCCAATGTCGGCCGAAAACAGCCCGCCACCGCCGCCACCGGCCTCACCGCGGTCTTTCCCCGTCCTCCCTCAACATGTGGCCCCGCCCACTCCATCGCCGTCACCCAGCCCACCTGCCACCCTCTGCAGCCGGCTGTCTGACGGCAGCCAGACGGCCCCCAGCCCCACAAACTCACGGGGATCCATCCACGGCGTCTCCTTCCTGCTCCAGATTGGACTCACCAGGGAGACGGTCACCCTCGACCCCGGAGAGCACTCGCTATCTGCTGTCAGGGAGCTCGTCTGCTCCATCGTGGACCAGAAGGTAAACTTAGAGCTCTGTATTTGACTTCTGTAAGGAGCTTTTTGTAAGTTTTGCTATTGCTACATAGCTAACATTAGCATTATCAGCTATTCACTTACCATTCTTGGTAAAAGTTTCAGCCAACGTTGCAGTAGGAGGCTACAGTGACTCGGTATCGGAAATTGATGAGACAGGGCTAACTAGTTAGCATGCTAATGATGTGATGTTAGCGTACATTGGCGTTGCTTTTCAAGACAGCTCTTGGCGAGTTTAGAAATGAAGTTTGATGCTGAACTTGCAACATTTCTTCTAGACTGGTAAGTAAACAGCTGCTAATGCTAACGTTAGCTATGTAGCAATAGCAAAAACGTACATATAGCTCCTTTTAAATTCTGGTCTGTCTCGGCTGTAACTACCTGGATACACCCCCAGTTTATGTTACATGGTAAACTACCAAAGACAGACATGCTAGTATGAGACATGTTGTTAATTAACTAATTAACTGGCTAATTGGGGAGGAAAGTTACTTTCTCAAAAACAAAACATAGGAGCTTAGAATTATGAGAACCAAAGGTCATGATTATGAGAAAATCTCTACTATCAGTTCTGTTTTTCCGTCTGTGTGCTGGACAGAGTTTTGGTAAAAGTTGGTGTAACCTCTCCTTCATGTCAGACCTGAAACTCATGTAGTTCAGGCATCCGCTCTAGGCTCGACTTTTATCTTCTTACCATCTACTGGTTTTACCGCTCGCGCTGAACCCACCACCTGTGTTTACCACACTAAATGCATTTCTCAGCCCTCCACACACTTACACACACACACACACACACACACACACACACACACACACACACACACACACATTGCAGCAAACCAAATGAGTCCACCTGTTTTGCAGGGCATGGTGATGGGTGGAGGAAAACCCGGTGATGCTCTCATTTGAACTTCTTCGAGTAACTCTCCTACTGTTGTTACTTAACCAGCATTTCACTGATTTGTTTATTGGTTGTTTGATGGATTGATTGATTGATGGATTGATTGATTGATTGTTGGGACAGCCAGTGTTTGCCGTCACACACTTTCACTTGTTGTGTCTTGTCACTCTGTGTTCTCAGGCTCAGCAGAGGAAAAGTCTCCTCACAGGGAATGTCACTTCCTGGTCGTTGTTGCTGTGTCAGCGCTCTGTGTTTCCTCTTTAACAGCTGTGTGTTGTGTTGCAGAAGCAGCAGGGTGGTCCTGCTGATTGTTCTCACTGTGCACTGTGTAATTTCACTTCCTCTAAAATTATTCTGTGTGGAAACGACTGCTTCATGAAAAAAAAATTCACAGGGTTTGGAGACAGGAGTCTCAGTCCAAGATCAAGATCCTCACAACAAAACTGAGTAATCATCTCCATTTAAATATATATCATATAGTCTAAAGGTCTGTGTCCATGTGTAGTGTGATTATAGATCAGCTCTAGATTCTATATTAATACTGTGAAAGTATCAAAGCCTCAGTCCACAGAGAAATGCACACAGCCTGTATTCAGAAACTGAGCCTTAAAACCAGCCGTCAGGACTTCTGGAACTTTGTGATGTCACAACAAAGCAGTCACCAAGCCCCGCCCACCTGGACCCACCAGCCAAACCTTGCAGGATTTGGTTTTTTGAGTTTTTGAGTGTTTAACCTGAAATCTGCTATATTTTTATTGGATCACTCAGAAACCAGTCAGCCAATCAGAAGAGAGGCTCAGAGCCTCCTCTCTTCTGATTGGCTCACCGACCTGTTGTTACTAGAGCTCCAGAGAGAAGCCTGAGAGAGGAGATGTAAAACTACACTGAGATGGTTTTTGGTTCTTAAAACTACAAATATATCTTCTTATGGATCAACACTTCAAATAAAACACAGGAAAATTGTGAAATATGGGACCTTTTAATACATTTTTGTTTATTTTTAGCCAAAAATAAGGTTATATTAATAAACCATAAATGAAGGTCCATTTTTAAAAACTAACTCTTATTTTTAAGATTTTGTATCTTGGCCTTTATTTTTGATGACAGATTCGACCCTCCTGGGCGTGGATGATACGAGTCGAGATGATTCTTCTTAGCTTCTCTTTGTATTTCTATTGGATTCAAATCAGGGAGACATTCTCCATGTCATAGTTTTTACTTATTTCTTCTCTACAAACTATTGGATCATTGTCCTGTTGGAAAAGTCCTCTCCTGTTAAGCTTCTTGAGCCTGGGAAAGGTCTTGCACTTTGCAAGAGTCAGCAGAATCTCTGCTGTGAGCTGTGGTTTTGTGTAGCGGTTGACTATAGTAGTTTTTGCTTTGCTGGGTGCAGTGATTTGTGTGTGAGAAAATATCACAGCTACCTGCTAATTTTCTAAACTGACCCTAAAGGTCTCCAGGACTCCCAGCAGGAGCTCGCAGCAGGAGGACACGATGACTGGAATCGTTTTTTTTCCTCCCTTTGTGTCCACATCATGAGGCTGCGACCTCGTATGAGGCTGGATGGAAGCTTCAACTCTGGTTTACTGCTGTTATGTCACTTCTCTACTCTACTCTGTGTGTGTGTGTGTGTGTGTGTGTGCGTGTGTGCGTGGGTGTGTGTGTGTGTGTGTGTGTGTGTGTGTGTGAGTGTGTGTGTGTTGTGGGAGGAAGGGGGGAGGTGTTAGGGAAATAGGGAAGTTCCCTCCCTTTGAGGTCGCCACACTGACAACCCCCTCTGCACACACACACACAGGCTAGCAGCAGTGACTCGTGGCTCAGTCTTTCAGCCTCTTTTAGCTCATGGTGTTGGTTAAACGGCACATTTACTGCCGTGGTTCAGGCTCCAACAGCAAACAGACAAAGGTAGTGACTTGATAAGTCAGATAACTCTACCAGCTGGTGATGACAGTGGAACGTACAGCTGTTAAAAAGACATTTTCCTCAGGAGTTGGTGGAGGCCAGACACTTTGATATATGTTGTCAGGGTTGTTTGTCTGTCAGCTTCTTGCCTTCAAACGGTCAAAAATCAGTTAATGCAGCTTTAATTTTCTGGGTGGTGTTTGACCACTTGTTTGTGGTTCCTCTGCTGCCTCACCTGGGCTGCAGCAGCAGGTGAGAAAGTCAGAAAACAGTGTTGGTAATTTTACCATCTACAGTGAAGAACCTGGGATTCTTCCACACACTGCTGCTCAGGCGCTCCAGTGTCATGATCATCTGATCATCAGCATCCTCCATTTTTAGTCATTAGCTGAACTGAAGTTACAGAGGTGTAAACATGGTAGAAATATGTCTTTTTTTCTTTTTACATAAAAAACAGAATTTAAAACCTGTTTTTGTGGAAAACGCTCTGGATCCAGAGCCACAAGTCTGAACCTTTCTGCTGTTTCAGGGACATGAGGATCCTAAAACGCTCAGACAGACAATCAGGAGACTTTTCAGACCGTGTATAATTTATCAGGGTTGTTCAGACCCAGTCCGGTCCAGTCAGTCCAGAACAGAACAGACCTGATGTAGCGCCACTGAGGCCACATCGTCCCACAGATCTGAAGTGAAAGTGATTACAGCAGCCGGGACCTTGAACCGCCATTTACAACATAAAAACCAGCATCTCTCTTTCTCTCTCTCTCACACACTCTCTCTCTCACACTCTCTCTCTCTCTCTCTTTCTCTCTCTCTCACACTCTCTCTCTCTCTCTCTCTCTCTCTCTTTCTCTCTCTCTCACACTCTCTCTCTCTCTCTCTCTCTCTGTCTCTCTCTCTCTCTCTCTCTCTCTCTCTCTCTCTCTCTCTCTCTCTCTCACACACTCTCTCTCTCACACTCTCTCTCTCTCTCTCTCTCTCTGTCTCTCTCTCTCACTCTCTCTCTCTCTCTCTCTCTCTCTCTCTCTCTCTCTCTCTCTCTCTCTCTCTCTCTCTCTCTCTCTCTCTCTCTCTCTCTCTCTCTCTCTCTCTCTCTCTCTCTCTCTCTCTCTCTCTCTCTCTCTCTCTCACTCTCTCTCTCTTTCTCAATCTCACACTCTCTCTCTCTCTCTCTCTCTCGCGCTCTCTCTCTCGCTCTCTCTCTCGCTCTCTCTCTCGCTCTCTCTGTCACCACGGCGATGTGAGGGACCCATGTCCTCCTCTCTGCCGGTTTCTGTGGTTACCAAGGCCAGGTGGTGGTTCAGGTGGAGAAAAGAGAGATGGAGAGATGTCAGTGTGTTTTAATGGTCGCTCGACCCACCTACAGAGCTTTTAAATACTGCGCTGGTGTCGTATGGAAACCTCGTAACTCCAGATGGAGTATTTCCACTTGTTTATGATTTTTTTTGTTTAATTTGTTCCTCAAATGCTAAAGACAAACTGTTTTCATCAGTTTGATATTTAAATTGTTCAGATTAAACCCTGAGTATAACAGTATAAAGGACAAACATTGTTGAGTTTAATGGAGATTGGAGGTTTTCAGCTAAAAGCAGCCATTAGCTTGTACCTGACATGATTTACAAGGACAAACAGTGAATGTCTCTTTGTTCTCTCTGCGTCTCTCTCTCTCTTTTCCATCGTCATCCTATTTCTGATCAGGTGAGTAAATAACTGAACAACCTGGACTAGTATTCATCAAACTTTTACTCAGAAATTAAAGAATAAAACAAATTATCAAACCTTTTTTTTGCTTAAAAAGTCTCTTAAATGTCAGAAATGCAGCGTCTGTGAAGGTGGTGAAGAGGAGATGACGATAATATGGCGGATAATAATAATGATAATAATAATAATAATAATAATGATAATAATGATACTGACATGCAGGAGTGTAATGCGTTTACATATTTGATGGGATGTTACACCACTTTTACGTTTTCCTTTTTCTTCTACAAACTGCAGGTGTAAACACAAATCCAAACTAATAATAGGGTCGAAAAACAAACTAACAATAAAACAACAATCACACTGCAGGGCTCCATCATCAGGGCTGATGAGGAGCAGGGTGTTTGAGACGTCATTGTTTCTTTTCTTTTTTTGGTGCAATAAATAAGTGAAAACAGGAGCCGTGCAGTGTTTGAGCTGTT